CCGTTCAGACGTTGCCATAGGGTCTTCGCATCCCGTTTGCATGTAGCTATGAATGACTCCAAGGCTCGCAGCCGGTGATCCCGTCGCGCGTTACGCTTAGCACGATTAAACTGACGACGTAACTCTTGAAAACTCGTATGCCCCATAGCCGGGGCAGCACACCCCCACTTCATCACATCAGACCGATACTGCAACATGGCCTGCTTAGCCGCAGCACACTCATCATTCCACCACGCCGCCTTGCCGTTAGAAACCGGCCCGGGCCTGAAGGCATCACCGAAGCAACCCAGCAAAATCCGTTCGATAGTGTCCACCGCCTGGGTGACACCAATCTGGCCAGCACGCAGGGAATCCACAACCGCCCGGACACCAACCACAGGGGGGGCCTCCGGGTTGTAGAACATGTCTGTGTACCTGTGCGCCTCAGAGACAAGAAACGTCGGCTTGGGTTTACGCGTGGGTGGCCGGTCCGGCCTCCAAACCGACGCGAGGTGAAGGGACACGGGGTTATGATCACTCAAGCGGCGTTCTTCACGGTAAAAAGATTGCTGTGGCAGGACACGGAAGGAACGCACGCACGGGTACAAAGAAGGGGACGCAAGCGCAAGGTCAATCATGCTGCCTCCCCCCCGGCTGGACTCGTATGTGAGCCTGCCCTCAGTGTCACCCGGTGCCCGCCCATTGAGAATGACAACCTCTGAAACCCGGCACAACTCGAGCAGTTTACGTCCAAACGCATTATGCTCCTGATCTAGCGACCGGCTAATAAACAAGAAGGCCGGAGGAGGTGCCAGTTGCTGTAGCTGCTTGCTCCATAATTCGACCAGGGGTTAGACCCCATTTGACTGTGTGGACAGGATAGCCCACACTTGCCTTCACAGCACACGAGGACCTTTCGTCCAGCATGGACACGTGGATCCGCAGCCAATGCATGGAGGCACCATCTGCCGAAGACAACCCAGCTGGCCTGATCGCCTGGTGGCCAGGCTTCATGCGCCGCCTTGCCACCCTGGCCCATCGACTCAACAAGGCAGCACAACAACGCCGACGACGGCCGGGCACCCGTGCCCAGGAAGCACTGGCTGCGGTCCAGCTGGCTCAGCAAGCAGTCGATGCGGCGCCCACAGCACCCCAGCCGGGTGCCCCGAATAACCGGGGAAGGCGGGGTTTCGCTGGTAGAGGCCATGGCTGAACATATGAACCCCCTGCTCCACACATCATACAAGTCAGGAGATATTTTCACTCTCAACGGAACGTACAATGCATTTTTTCAAGGACGCTGTCTGCTCCTAAATGCCATCCATAAAATCGTCCAAATTTCGAATCCCCTCTTTGATTAGACCAGTGATTCAGTCGCATTGTTGATGATTGCAAAGGACATCCACCCTCGCCCCATCCTAAGAAAGCAAAGGCCGGCTTCCTCAGTCCAATCAGGATGAGTGAATAACGAATCGAGTAACCTTCCTACCGTATCCCACTACTGTCTCTTGTTTCATGGAATCTGAATTGGAACTAAATGTACACACCCTCCTTTCAAGTAGCTTCCACTGGACGCTTGTCACATGCCAGGTACCTTACTTGACTGCTTCCTCCCTATTGGCCCAACCAATATCATCGGTACCGGCAATGCTAACCCCTTCCGCTTTCTCACGCTCCATGTAAATGGCCGAGGCCACCTCCGTGAGGATGATTTCTGGGTCCCATGGCTCATCCAGCTCCTGGACCTGCCAAACGGGTTGCAAAGAAGGTGCTCAAACTGTTTTCAAGTTTATGCCATGCACCTCAATCTTCCCAGACCAAAGCCATAAATGTGTGATCCACCGTTTACACTACTAAGACAGCTCGCAGGAACAAATACATGGACTGCCAAGTCAATATGGTGGGACCTGAGGCCCAAGTCAGCCATTTAGGTTACCCTGCATTCATGGAGTAGCCTCACTACCAATCCCACCTGCTCCGAGGAGCACAACACTCCTGTCAGCAGTGACAGGTCGATATCTCTGTCATCCATAGCCGGCAACTTAAAATGCATGTCCTCCTCCAGCTCTTCTATACCCTGCACCTTGTTTGTGCGGACCTTGGGCGCCTCAGCTACCTGGCGACAGCACGACCAGCAGGCGAATGAATAGCCGCGGAACATTAGATGTTGCATACTGACGTGCAAATAGCAACCAGGAGGCAACACAAGAAGTAAACCGCTTCACCATTCCCATCAGCACCGGCCATACATGCAACACCTACGTACCACATTTGATAGGTCCTCTCGGCCTTCATCCTCAAGCTCCGGAATGTCCATAATGCCATCAACGCCAGCCGTCAGAGCCTCGTACTTGAGATTCTTCCGGCTAATCTCATCATCACCGCGTGCAAGCTGTTCTTGCTTACGGCGGGACACGCCCACAAATTTCTTGCTGTCCTCTCTAAGAGTGTCTGCCGTAGAGAACTTATCAGATGGTGCTAGTCGCTGCGCTGACGGATGCTCGCCACCAGCTTCCTCAGTGCGGCTCCGTGATGTTAGAGGAGTGTCGCCATCGTTATTTACGTGTGTTCTGGGTCCTTGCCGGGAAATGTCCTCCGTGTCGAAATCATCTTGTCGTAATGCAGGTTGCGTCGATGAGCCCGCTTCAAATCCTGCATCAAGCCCAAACCCGCCCTGCGACCGTCGCGGCGATATAATGCTGAACAACTTTAGACATGCGCTAGCTCGTCCCCCGCGGCCCCCAAAGAGCTGACCTTCTGTACCTCTACTGGCGCAGTAGAATCATCTGCCCAAGAATTCACGTTACGTCCTGCACGGCGACCGGCCTTGGGTGCTGCCTGCGTATCGGAAACCTTTGATATTTAGGTAGGCAGACTCCCCTTCATGGTCAACACTATTCCGACCTTTCGCCCTTCGTCATCCATATCTGATTGGTTAGGCGCGTCAAGCGAAGCTCGTCAAAACACTTCAGGAAAAAACGTGAAAACGAGTACCACCTGAACTAATTAATTCATGGTATCGCAGAAAGTCAGTTATAGCAGTGATTTCTAAAAGCCGCGTATGGGATATGCGTGAACACGTGTTGGCCTGTTGCAACATGGCTGGGTGCGGAGACTCTGAAGGTAAACAGCACTCCTGGAGCTGACCGTTGGACAGGTCTCATTGTGACAACACAAAATAGCTTTTCCTATGATTTTAAACATTCTCTAAAAAGACCTGGCTATCAGCTGAAGCGATTCTGCAAGGGCGCCACCACAGCTGCCGGTGCGATGCAAGTGCAACCACTCAGTTGACATACAGAGGATAAGAACACACAGCTTTACATTTCGTGTTACTTTCAATGCTTACACAATAAACTCTAACAAATCGTCCCGTGGCAACTTGCTTGTTGCATCAGCCCAAGGACAAGGTGTCCTGGCTCGACTCAGAAGCGCAAAAACTACATTGAACGTACTTTGCACATTCTGCTAATTGAAACCACAAGGCGGCCCGTCTTCTAGAGTAATGCGTCAAAGACGGCCGGGGGTTCCCCGCACAAGGTGAGCCTCGCCATGGAGCGACCGTGAGTACTGCCGGCTATGTGCTTGTGTAAACGAAAGCTGTACACATATATGTCTTCATTTACATAAGTCCGATAAACGATGGCCAACTCGCTTGGGCTCAAGTCCCGAAGGCCTCCGCCAGCCTAACGTTATTTGTCCCCGGCTTACCTTCGCAAGTCATTTTCATCCGTGTCGTACAAGCACCCCTAGGGAGGGTTGCGGTTTCGCTAGTCATTTTTGAGCTGCAAATCCGTGATCTCTGCCGTAAAAGGCACTTGTCGGCGCGCTTCGGTATTAGTCGTACGAAGTCACCGAGCTTATTGCCACGCCTTCTACCAGCTTTGCAAATGGACACAGTCTTTATCAGGCATTCTGCATTCCTTTACAAAGTCGCTATCGTGCTGTGCGATCAACTTATTATCTCTAGGTAGACTACCTACCACTAAGTGCTACGATGTCCAGTTCCACAACTTCCTTGGCAACACATTTCGCTGGGTTGATAATCACCGGTTCTGTCGCTGAGATCGCTTTCTATTCCTGGGCGGGGCCTGTGGCTGGGTCGAGGTGCTCATGGGCGCACGAGTGCCAAGCTGCTCCCTGGTGGGTGGTGGCTTGGCCATTGTTTGCCGCTTCCCACACCCCTACCAGGTCCCCCACCGTGCACAGTTTCCTACATGGTGTCAGTGCCGCGTGGTACACTTCCAGGCCTGGTCGACAGCTGGGGCCCTCGGTGCTTGCAGCATTGGTCGCATTGGGCAGCAGTGGGTTGCCCCATAGCGCCGCCGCCCAGCACCAATCACCGGGTACCAGTGGGGTTCTGCCATTGTCCTCCAAAGGCGGCAAGTGACCCAGTGCCCCCACGATTCGGCTGATGTCTGTGGGAAGGTCGCTGCTGCCGAGCCACGGTCCCGTGGCCCGGGCGGTTGTCAGAGCCCAAGGCTGGAGTGCAGGGTGGGTGAGCTCCAGGTAGGCGGACAGCGTGCGTACCCAGGGGTGTAGGCCCCGGGCCTCTAGGGTTGGCACGGGTACTATACTAGAAAAGAGTACTATACTATAATAGTACTATGCATAGTACTATTTACTATGCAGGGCTCTAAACTGGTACTAGTTTACGACGGTCGTACCGGGTTCGTACATAGTAAAATAGTATAGTAAAAATAGTACTAGATAGTACTAGATTTGAGTTTGGATAGTGTCCAGTATTAGTTGGACCAAGTCGAGATCTGCAGTCAAGCTGTATTTTGAAGGGCTATAGCCGCGTCTTCGAGCTGTGCTACGTAGTTATTGATGAATAATGTCAAAGGAATCCAGTATAAAGAATGACAAGGCGATCAGAGGCTTGCATCCTGGTCCAGACGTCCCCCCTGAAGTTCTCCGTTCTCGGAACGAGCTTTTTAACAAGCTACGTAACCAGAAGAAGAACGCCAAGACGGGTAGTCTTTGGGACAACTTCGATGTGGAGTGGTGGGGTGGTCTAACAAAGCTAGTCTGCTTGTTCTGCGATGAGCCGCTCAGCGCCACGAACCCATCCTTTACCAACGCGCACCACATCCAGCAAGGTGCTTGCAAGGCTATCAAACAGCGTGCAGCGTCACTCAGCCAGCAACAGCAACAGAGTGGAACCAGCTCTGCTGCGGCGGGCCCCAGCACGGCGGATCAGCAGGCCCTCTCCAAGCGCCGGCGCGGCATTGATGGCCAGACCCTCCTCCCAGTGATTCCCGCGACTCTCGCGGGGCAGGTCTTCACTAGTATGGCGTCCGTGTGTTGTCTTGTCAACACTGGGTCTTCTATCTGTGATTATGTCTTTATGTGCCATAACACGCCTTGAGACATGGGGCTTGGGGTCCACCTACCGGGCACTGAACTAACAAAAAGTGATCTGGATGACCACAGCGATCTGCTTTCTCATGTCTAAGTAGATATTTAGAAAGAACAAAAGAAGACCTTTCCAACGGTGTAATTTTCAGGTACAACGGTTGGTCGTACACCCCCCTTCTACAGGGAGCGTGTACCTGCCTAGTAATAGTATCATAGTACTACATTACTATATATAGTACTATTTCTTACTATACTATACTATTTGGGTAAAAAAATATAGTATTTTTGCCAACCCTACGGGCCTCACTGTTGGTTGCCGCTGCCACCTCCTCGTCCCCGCCTGCTCCCCCAGTTACTTCCCCTCCCGCACCCCTACCTTCACAACCTGCTGCCGGTAGTGCCTGTGCAATGAATCGCACGGCCCAGACTGCGTGGCGAGCGTGGATGTGCTGTCGGAGCGGCAGCAGGCCGAAACCCCCGGTTGACGGATGGCCTACTAAAAGGCTGCTGGGTACACCTGTGAGACGCTGGCCTGGGTCTTCTGGGCCCTGTTGTCGGTCGACCAGGCGGGCCGTCAGCCGCTCGATGTGGTCCAGAGTGCTGTCTGGAGGGGGTCCACCATGTTCCATGTGCCAGGTGACCGTCTGCAGGCCGTATCCGGACGTGGCGGTGGCCCTGCCGAAGGCTGACAGTGGGAAGCGGGCGAGCCGCTGCATCCGCTTGTAGGCGCCTGCCAGCATCTTGGGCCATTCGGGTTCGGGGGTTGTGGGCCGGTTGTCTACCGGCAAGTTCAGGGCTGTGGCGGTGGTGACCACTTTGAGTCCACCAATTGTCTCCTGCTGCGGTTGTTGGTGTAGTGGCTGCTGCAGCTGCTGCCTACCCGCCGGTTGTGGCTGCTGCTGTTGTTGCTGGTTCTCAGCACGCACCCTCAACAGCTCCACCTTTTCCACATTGAGGCGCTGGTCTGATGCCCTTACGAAGGTCTCCATGGCTTCTAGGAACGACGGTACTGACTCCTCGCCCTCCAGCACCACTTCAGTGTCTTCCGCGAACTGGCAGGCTGTGACGCGGTCCTGGTCGTTCGGCCATAGTTTGACCCCCACATCTCGGCTCCGGAGCCAGCAGAGCAGGGCCTGGGCGATGAAGAGGTACAGCAGAGGCGCGAGGGGGCACCCCTGTCGCACGCCTGCCTCCATCCCAACCAGTCTTAATTTAAAGCCATTGACCATGGCTCGTGCCTGCGTGTTGCTGAGCAGCAGCCGAACCCAGCTGCATAGCTGCGGGCCCGCCCCCATCGCCTCCATTGCAGCTAGCAAGAAGTCTCGGTCCACCGTGTGTGTCATATGCCTTCGTGAAGTCCAGGAACGCCAGGAGACCCCGGCGGTTCTGCTTGCGGAGGAGGTGGGATAGGTGGTGCAGGAACATCACACTGGCCCCGATGAGCCGTTTGGGGAGGAAGACCGACTGCTCGGGGGTGATGATGCGCCCCAGGGCCAGCCCCAGGCGGTTGGCCAGTATCTTGGCGAGCAGGCGGTAGTCGGCGCATAGTAGCGTGATAGGGCGGTAGTTACCGGGTTGCTTGGGGTCGCCCTTCTTGTAGAGCACCGTGATAATGCCCTCAAGGAACCCGGTCGGCACCTGCCCCGTTGCGCCTATGGCGGTGAAGAGGCCTGCCATGGTGTTGCCAATGGTGGACCAGAATTTGCGGTATAGGTCGGCTGGGATGCCGTCCCATCCTGGTGCCTTGCCGGGCTGGCTCTTGACCAGTGCAACCCGTAGCTCCGCTGCTGTGATGGTTTTGGAGCCAAGCTGTTCATCTGCGTTTGCAGGGAGGCTGATGTTGGCTGCAGACAGCTGGGCAAGTACCTCCTGTCGGGCACTGGGGCTGATGAAGTCAGGAGCTCGGCTGATCTCAGCCCAGTAGTCTGCCACGACCTGCGGCAGTTGTGCTGGGTTGGTCACTAGGCGGCCGCTGTGCGTCTGGAGTGCGACTGGGGCAGGCTGCTGTTCGGCCGCCTGGGCTTTGAGGAAGGCTGTCAGGGCAGGGCCGGTCCGTTCACCTGCCCGGAGCCAGTGGGCCCGTGCTTCCTTGGCTGCCATGCTGCTATCCTCCTGGTGCTTGTGCATCCGCTAGCTGCTGCAGTGGCTGGGGTGCTGTAGGCGCCGCATCGACTGCTTGCTGAGCCTGCTGGACCGCAGCAATTGCTTCCCGGGCACGGGTGCCAGGCCGTCGTCGGTGTTGTTGTGCTGCCTTGTTGAGTCGATGGGCCAGGGTGGCAAGGCGGCGCATGAAGCCTGGCCACCAGGCGATCAGGCCAGCTGGGTTGTCTTCGGCAGATGGTGCCTCCATGCATTGGCTGCGGATCCGCGTGTCCATGCTGGACGAAAGGTCCTCGTGTGCTGTAAAGGCAAGGCGGACTCGGCGGACCCCTGGGCCCCGCTCCTCACTCCGGCACGGCAGTAGGTGCAGTGTCGCAATCCTGTGGTCTGACGGTGTGTGGAAGGTGACGGACGTGTGGCAGACGTAAGTCAGCTTGGGCTGGTTGATGTATATGCGGTCGAGACGGGAACCCCCCGGGGTGGGCGCGCGGTATAGGTGGGTGAAGTCTCGGCGCGTGGGATGGAAGTGGTGGTGGGTGTCGACCATGGTGGGGCCCGCCTGTCTCCTCATGTCGGCTATCGGTCCGTCTCCCTGT